GGAGCTGCTGAACGGAAAGAGATGAGCCTGTTGCGAGGCGATAGAGGAAAGGCATGTTATAGATGGCGAGTTGTGGTTTATCAGGATCGAATCGGGTTCGTTCGTCGAGCCATATACGAGCTTGAGCATAAGATGCTGGTGCTAGAAAATAGAAGTATCAGTACTCATGATAATAGCATGGATGGTTGTGGTGATCTAGATTTATGTGTCTGGTAAAACGCTTATCTTGAAACGGTTTGTTTATTCTTCTTGCATAGTGGAAAGAGAACGTTTAGGAAGAGTTGAAGTTACGTGCTGTCTCAGTAGTTGTTTGGTAAAAATGAGTTCCACTAGATCTCTGTGAACACGAGAGCATGAAATATACCTTCTGTTATTTGGTTGGATTGTCGACAAAACAGAATATTGTTGATCTCTTCTCGCTCATTTGGTAAGATAAGAGAAAGCTGTTCAATTGGGCATGAAAATCCGTATGTCAGCTCGTTGCAATTTTTTGTGAGAAATATTTGCTCGACAAGATATTCAAATCGCTGAGCAAGCTGTGAAACAGTGGTGCTTTCGTACTGATCTTGCGAACATGTTAATGAAAATGTTAGTTGGCCGCCATGCGTCTCGGAATGCAGCATAAAAGTTAGTGCGAAGTCGAATTTTCTCATTTGATGGAAATCTGCGAAAGGCATTTGTTCTAAATGGACATCGTTCAACGAAAAACCTTGTGCATCTCCAGTGAGGTTGATAAAGTCGAACATCGTCTCTAGAAACGAAGCGTTAGATTGATTGAGATGAAAGTCGACAAAAATGTGCTGCAGGGGGTAGTGTGAGTGCGCGAGAATTGACAAGAACTCGTCTCGCACATGTGTGACAAGCTGATCGAATGGCCAATTGGAGTCAAGCTGAATACGATGTGGCAACGTCGAAACAAACATCCCGATCATATTCGATATTTCGCTTCGATATCGGTTTGCGTTAATCGATGCAATGCACAGATCATTTTGACTATGAGTTAGTTTGAAAAGAAATGCATAGAATGTTGCTAATCCCAGTTGAAATAATGTGAGATGGTGGGATGATGCATAATTCAGAAATGCTTCAGCGACGTTTTCGGCCAGTGTGATATGAGTGCTTGATGCTTGACCTGATCGTTGATCAGTTGATGAACGTTTTTTATCCATCGGTAGTGGTATCTGGTATTCAAGGTTGTATCCTTGTAGATGAGAATGCCAGAAATCGCGAGATGCTGACATGTCCATGACATGTTCATGAATCGAATAATCAATGTATTGTAGTGTATTTTCATCCACATGCAGTGAACCACTGTGCTTATAGGCAAACGACAAGTCAGAAAGAAAAGTCAAAGTTGACATTCCATCGAATGCCGCATGATGAATGTTTAGCAATATAAAATCCTTATTTGTTACCACATCACCGTCCACTTGTGAATGTTTGAAAATGTGACATTGGAGAACGCGTCCTTGTGACAAGTCAAATAGATCAGATCGATGCTGTATCTCTTTGGTGATCTCATTTATCTCACGACCATCCTTTTGTAGATCCATGACTGTGAATCCATATACTGGCTGTTCTTCGTTTGGCGACATATTCCCACTCAAGCATTCTTGTACTATGGTTCCATCCGTGTGAAGATAGAGCGCAGTTCGAAGTATGCTGTGTTTCATGATGACAGCATGAAGTGCTTGGTGGAATCGTGAGATCGAAATATGAGAGTTTTCTGCAGATAAGCGGTAGAGATGTGGAATGGCATAGATATTCTTGCTCGCTGCTGATGAAAGACGGATCTGTTCGTCCAAGAAGATACGCTGTTGTGCAAACGAGGCTATGCCTAAAACAGAGAGAAAAGCGAGGATAACACTTGAATCATTGCTTGGGAGTTGTCTGTTTTTACCTCGAACTGCATGTAGTGGCAACCAATGATGCTCGATTTCGGTATCTGTGGTGTTGGTAGCTTGTTGAATAAGTTGTGCATGTCCCGAGATAGTTGGATTTTGGAAGAGATCTGCAATGGAAAGTGTGTTTGGCTCTAGATTGAATAGTGTTCTATATCGATGAAAGAGTTGCATGATGAGCAACGAATGCCCGCCAATAGAAAAAAATGATGTCGATGTCCGTGGAATCGATTTAAGATGAGGAAAAATAGTTCGCCAAATATCAAACACTTGCTGTTCCATGGCTGTCACTACTTGGTCTTCGTCAATAGGTGTTATAGCAAGGGCACTGAAATCAACGGAAGGTAAGGCTTTGCGATTGATTTTTCCGTTTTGATTGAGAGGCAATTTATGCAGACGAACAAAGAATGACGGTACCATGTGGAGCGGTAAGCGCGTTAGACAATGTTGTCGTAAATCATGTTCAGCTCGTTTAGTTTCGACATATGCGACTAGGTATTGATTGTTATCATGCGTTAACTTGACGACCACAGACATTGTGGTGACATCCATAAGAACTGATTCAATTTCACTCAACTCAATACGTTGCCCTCGAAGCTTCACTTGGTAGTCTCGTCTACCTACGTATTCGAAAACACCACTTTTTGAATTAATACGTCCCATGTCTCCTGTTTTGTAATAAGTCTGATTATTGATTGTGCATAGTACTTGCTTCATCAGTTCGTCCTGGCCACGATAACCAGCGAACAACCCAACGCCTAGGTTGTCAGTTAAGGAAAAGAAACTGTGTGCCCTATAATTATCCATTTTAAAGAAAACATACCTCCAATGACGATTTCTCCAACATGTATGTCGGATATCACTGGTATAAGATAATCATCAACTAAATAGACGCTAACACTCGCCATGGGTCGCCCAAGCGGTATGGAACCGTAGGCTAGATCTTCATCGGAAATCACATGTTCGATTGATGACTCAGAGCACTCTGTAGGACCATAATAGTTGTAAAATTGGCATTGTTTGTTAAGATAAGGTTGAATATCGATAATAGTACTAGTAAAAATAGATTCCCCTAGAGTTAAAAGAAAAATAGCTTTCAATTTCGAACTTGAACGTGTAAAAATAATATCGTACCTCCTGTAGCCACACATCGTAATGTTTCTAAAGTATTATATTCATCTGTGCTGCGTAAAAACGCTACCAAATTAATTAACTGAGAAGGTACAATGCCTATGTATGAAACTTGATAACGACAGAGCGTTCTAATAAATGATTCCATATCCAGCTGTGCAAAGGGTTTCAAGATTACAACCTGACCACCTTTCATCAAGATTCCTATACTTTCACTGAGATGAGCGTCAAAAGTGACCGACGTGTGATGAAGACCAATATCAGTAGATTGAATTACCAGAGCTCGCATATACGTTACGAAACTACAATGCCGAAGCTGAACCTAAATGTAATAAATAAAGCAGATTATATCCTTTTACTACTAATCTTGACAATCGTAATCGTACTGCTTTCGGTGTTCCCGTTGAACCGCTTGTAAATATTATGTAGCCAATACTTTCCGGTGACACCATGATTTTTGACAACACGCGGACTGTTTCATAGCTTATAAAATTCATCTCATGAATCGCAGAATCAACGTTAAATAGCAAAATTTCCTCGGCGAATTTATTCTTTGTTGACCAATGAACAAGAACAAGTTGACAATTAGTTCGTCGGATAAGGACATGCAATCGATGGCTAGGATCCTGCGACGATAGTGGACAATAAGCTGCACCAGCCATCTCTATTGCTAGAATTCCAATGACCTAATGAAAACAAGTATTTCATTCATTATATTCAACTTCTTCCGGATAGACTTACTGTAAACAGGCTTCTTTCAATACACTGACAGACAATTTCTCCTGGCGAAATGTGATATGTGGAGACAAGATGTAAAGATATTAATTGAGCGTAGTATAAGAGTTCTGCATAGGTCATGAATTGATCACTAAGCTCAACCGCAATTTTCTGTGGATGTTTCATTGCTTCAGACACAAACTCATGATGAATACAAGTTATCGGAGGAAAGGCGGCATTTGAGTTATTCATAGATTGCACGAGTAACTTCTCGTGGGCCAATGTAATCTGTACTTCATAAATAGGTTTTACGAATTGATCGTCAACAGCTTCGAAACACTCACATAGCATGTGACGAAACCTTTGCGCGATCAAGTTCACTGTCATTATGTCAAATATGTCAAGAGACCCACTGATCATACATCTCAAATGATTACTGACAGGATCATGTGCAATATAAACAGCAAAATCACTTTTCTCTATAATTTCTTTCTCTTTCACCTTCAGAAGAGAATTTATTCCATGTAGTGTAGCGTCCCCAATGATAGCTTTCTCCTCTTCCATAGTAATTTCATCGACAAAAGACTCCAATAGCACATCCAAAAATTCAGGTTTCACAATATGTGGATGCTGAGCAAGAATGCGTTGCAGAGGGAAGTATGAGTGTTTCAAAGAATTCGTCATCATGCTGGAAACACTCTCAATTAACCGATAAAGTGACCACTGAGGATTGAGCTGACACCGTAACGGAATGATATTCACGAACATTCCTATTATTGATCTAAGCTCGCTTTTATATCTGTTGTCGATCGACAGGCCAATACACAAGTCTTTGTCGCCGTTAGTGAGTTTGAACAGAAAGACATAGTAGATGGCAAGTGATACTTGTCTTATTGACACATCATGAGATGATGCATATCTGATCAGTTCATTCGACACATCATAGCCAAAGTCAAAACATACCGACGTACCACGACCTGTTCGGTGTTCATTCGTCAGCCGGTGTCGATCGTATGGCAGTGACAATGGCCGATCTAAGTCACAATCATNTTGATGTTCACGGCGTGAGAAATGTCGGGTTGAGTGATCTTTTGCATGAGTGTGTTGGTGTTTGAATCGTAGAAGAGGGAAGTGTGAAGTGAAGGATGTTTGATGAGAATGAGCTGGAGAGCATACTGGAGCTGCTGAACGGAAAGAGATGAGCCTGTTGCGAGGCGATAGAGGAAAGGCATGTTATAGATGGCGAGTTGTGGTTTATCAGGATCGAATCGAGTTCGTTCGTCGAGCCATATACGAGCTTGAGCATAAGATGCTGGTCCTACAAAATTGGATCATTTCCACATGGCGGCTGGATAGGATAACTCAGTTTTAGGTGTTGTAGTCAAATTGTCTTTTCCCGACGCAGTTATTAAAAAAGGGGTTTGTACGAATACAATGCATTCCATCTGTCTTTATGTTCTATTCTCTGATATATTCCCTTTTCTGAAAGAAAGGGTTATACAGCGTTTAAATGCTGTGTTAAAAAGCTTAAAGTTTGTCTGTCTGTCCTATCCAATCAGAAATCAGCATTTCTAAAGTCAATGAAATTGATCAATAGCTGTTAGAAAATGATTGCCGGTAGGGTAATCGAGGTCGGGGAACTTGAATCTGAGGTTAGTTTGAACTAATTATTAACTATTAATTAACTATTTGTCAACTAGGCATAAATTATTAATATGCAGAGTAGGGGTTGACCGAAGGGTAATCGGGGTCGAGGATATCGAATCTGAGATTAGTGTTACTTAATTAATTATTAATTTTTTATTAAATAGCCACGACTAATTAACATCCATTGTCAGAGTAGACTGAAAGGTTTCTGACGTCGGAAAATTCGAATTTAAGGGTGAATTTCGTCTTATTCGCTTAGCCTGGGCTTCTTCTTTCCTCTTTACGAAGGAGAAATTTTGCTTTATTTGTTCGGAAATCTTTTGTAGAAGATGGTGAACTGAACGCTATTCGTGGACGTCATGCATACAAAGATAGTAGCTCAAGAACTTACTCGAAAAGATCTAATGCATTGTACATAATGATGTTTCTATTGAAGAAATCCGAAAAAGTGACATGAGCTTGGTATCATCTTTGCTTTGTAGGCTACGTACGTCATGTCCTTTCATAGGAATTTAGTAGGAGTAGTTCGCAAAGTGATATACCCGTCGGTGGAATTGCATCTTAGTAACTACAGACGCGTGGACTGTAGAAACAGTATTCTGCACGCATGCAGCGCTATGAAATATGTTCGTTTCGAAGCAAATCATACAATAATAACGGGTGTCGCAGATTAAATGGACCTCTCAGTATTTTGGTTATAACCTTTTCGGTTTTCGATGTTTAGAGCTGCTTGTTTCACCAAAAGATGCACCTTAAAATTCTCTACAAAATCTTAATTGATCTCACATTTTTTCACCAAAAGATGCACCTTAAAATTCTCTACAAAATCTTAATTGATCTCACATTTTTTCACCAAAAGATGCACCTTAAAATTCTCTACAAAATCTTAATTGATCTCACATTTTTTCACCAAAAGATGCACCTTAAAATTCTCTACAAAATCTTAATTGATCTCACATTTATAAAATGTTACAAAAAGCCATTAAATAAAACATACTGCAAACATAAATTATACTTAACTTTCAAAGCGAATAACTGTTTCGCAACCGATAAGAATTGTTATCTATAGGTTTTTTACAAAAAAAGTATACTAAAAGATGTAGCGTGAAAAGTTCTACAAGTTTCGTCATTAAATTTAGTTTAAGTATGTACTTTTTATTTTCGAAACAATGTACAACTATTTTTCAAGTTTACAAGAAGGATCGCTTCATCTACACATTCGAAATTCGTTATTCTAATTTCATTTTCATTATACCTAATATTTCCTAAGCCAATAAATCTGTATATATCACAGGATGCACAATCAAAAGCTCTACAATTTGCATAGCAAGTCATTCTACACGAACACATCAATTTGTTTTAAAGTATCCAAAAACCTATGTGACAAAGGCAGAATCGTTCTTGTAAACTCGAAAATCAACTGCGCGTTATTTTGAAAATAAAACGTATATGTATAAACTAAATTTAATGATGGATCTTATAGAGCTTCTCATGCTACATCGTATGCTATAGTGTTAATGAGTGTATATATATTCGATGATTAAAACTAACATATAAAAACTAGTCATTTACATCATGTTTTCTCCTTCTGAAAGTTAGGTATAATTTATGTTTGCAATATGTTTTATTTAATGGCTTTTTGTAACATTTTATAAATGTGAGATCAATTAAGATTTTGTAGAGAATTTTAAGGTGCATCTTTTGGTGAAACAAGCAGCTCTAAACATCGAGAAGCGAAAAGGTTATAACCAAAATACTGAGAGGTCCATTTAATCTGGGACACCCGTTACTTTATTATCTAGTTTCTTTGGGTAGTCGAATGAATAGAAGATCATGGCTGTCGAAGTGACAATAAAAGAAAACCCAATCGTTCAGTTTGAAAGTTGGTCAAAGGCGAAAGGAACAACGGAGACAGCATGGCAGCAGCTAACCGTGAGTGGCCGGCCGGAGGGAAGTCGATGAACAACTAGGCGCTTAAATGCTAGATTAGCCGTAAAGTGTACGCTTAGAATAACCTTCCCAGACTTCAGATAATTTTGAAAGGGATTTGACGAATGGATATTCCTCAATGAAAATATTCAACAAGGTGTCATTTTGTTGACACGAGAGAAAAGAATCGGTTTATCGCTGGAAGACACAAGCGAATGTTCAAACTATTCAAGTAGTCTACTGTATATCGTCCGTCTATGAGTGACTTAATAAAGCATTTATGGAAATTTCCATGGGCGTGATGTGAAAATAGAAAAACAGATGACAAAGGTCAATAGTTGGCTGTGAGTGGCCGTCTCACTAGCCGTTGAGCGAATAATTCTTCAATCAACATAGTTACTGCTGGAGAATTATCCACTGACAAATGGCTAATCGGTCTGATTACTAAAAAGACCTTTGCATCCTATTCATTCCAGAGTATGACATAGTGCCATGATTCAGTTGAGCACTACTAGTAATCGCAGTACGTTTTTTCTCTTTCGAAGTCTGTCAATGTGTTCAGCATTCAAAAAAGTCTTTCAGAAAAGGGTCAGCGAATCCAAAGGATGAGCGTTACTTGTTTAATAGCGGATGTTTTACGGAACGGTTTTGTATGCCAAAGCATAAGTACCCTCTATGTAACGTGTCTCTTAGGATAAAAAACTTCACATACCTTCGTCTTTTATGCGCGATTCTCGAGTGAATTCAATATGGCGAATCTCATTAGCTTCTTCCGATAGCATGATATCAAATCTCGCCAGAGGCATCGTTGACGCATTCAATTCGTTGCCATTCTTATCAGATGCAAA